AGTTGATGATGTTTAGGTGGGCACTATGGCAGAAAAGACCTTCCTCTTACCTATCAGATGACATTTCTTAATCAACGAGATCTATAACAAGCCCTTTCTGCCAGATCTCTATGCCTACCCTCTTGCCAAGTAGATGTAACCTGGCAAAACAGAGTCCCTCAAATAACCCCGCCCTATTATAGATTATTACTAGAACCTTGGATTGAATCTGGAAGCAGACTGGCAACTAATGTAGCCTGTGGAGCAGAGGTGCATTGTCTGCTGAACATAATTGGTCGCACTGCTTCATTTTACATCAAGTGAAAATTCTGGATGCTTTTCAAAGGCAGCCTAATGCAGAAGACATTACATGTATATATCAAACAGGTTGAGATAATATAACACTTTAAATGCTTGTATCTTGCATTGGCTTCCAACCATGCAGAGCCACTAGCTCAGTGTCATTTTGGTATTACATGCTATACGTTGCTCAGAGTCAATGAATACAAAATAGGCAAATAAATTTCATAAATAAATACATGGCTTCTTTGGCGAAGATGCAGCTGAGGTGGGAGAAAACACTATGGATTAGATGAGTAATCCTCTGTAGAGACTTTTAGGAGCTACTGATGGCAGCAAGAAGGGAGCAGAGCAGCAAACTTTATTTTTGTGAATTTCCCTCTTGTAATAATTATAGAACTATTACAAAGATGTCTTAAAACTGAAGTTAATTTAATATTGTATTAACTGTGTTGCTTCAGTTAAACTGACAAAAAACACAATTATTCATTTTTGCCATCATTACTCTTATTTCCAACCAACTTTAAAAAAAAACACTCCAAAAAGCTTCCAGCATCTTAATGATGGTAGAAACAATGTTTTCTACACTTAGAACTTTCCCTCAAATCATGACCACAAATCCATGTGACCCATATGATAAGAGAGATGCTTAGATCATCTAATTGCCTGCCTGTTGAGCATGACTGTTGACTACTCAAGTTCCTGCTTTTTGTAGTTAGAGAAACACAAAGAACTCTATGTGACATAGTGAAAAAGAGCAATGACTCAGCATTTGTCCAAAAATGGCACTCAATTATTTCTGTGTTGTTTCCTTTTAATACTGTGATCAGTAATCAAAGCTATAATAAAGAACTTATGAACATCCAAATTGGATTATTTATAAGGACTTACTAAAAATAGTTAGCTAAAACATTTTATTTATGGTAAAAAGGCACATGTGAATGTTTTTGCCTTTTTCTCTGCTTTGTCTCTTTGTAAGTACGTAAGCTAAGTAAATATGAAGCAAATTCCTTAGAACTGTGATTTGCAAACTGTGAAGAAGTTGCTTGAGGAGTTATTGGTAATTGCTACAGAAGGTGTTTTCCCCAAATTTTCCCCTAGAATAATTTTGTCTGCAGCTTGATTAGAGAACATAGGGAAGATTACCTGAGCCACGTGGTCTTCTATGTATTGTTCTAGAGAAGCTAGAATCTAAGAAGATACTTCTTAAATTGATCACTAACTTGCCTCTTCAACAGTTCCTTTTGTTAACTAGTATTAGAAAAGGCTCTGGTAAATTAATTTTGTTATGGCCTGGTTCACTCATTATTATAAACCATTATACTTAACAGTGGCTGTTAAATATGTCATATTTACCTGAGCTTACAAACTCAGAGCCGAGTTTACACAATATATTAAATCATACCGTACCATACCATACCCCAGGATTATGTGTGATCTCAGTATTTTAATATCTGTTAGAAGCCTGGTTGAACCCTGGGTAGCTGGGATGCACAATAGAGTTGCTCTCAAGCAGTCTTTCCAAATGTATTTGTCCATGATGGTTACTTGCGTTACTGAGAAGCTTTGGGAGATGAAGTGCCTACAAGTAAACCTGGATAAATGCTGGAGGGAAACAAGGAGTGAAAATGATCAGAGATGAACCAACACAGGTGAAGGCCCAAATTCACATCTCTACCCTGATAGTGCACTTCTTTCTAACCATTTCTTCATATTACTGCTTCCTTGGAAAGCCAGTTGTACAGTAAACTGTACTAAAGAGTGAGTCAGTCTTTTGGGCTCTTGCATCCTGGGAGATCATACTCTTGTGAGCAGTTTGCTAAGCAGTTTGAGAACAAAATTGCTCATTCCCAATCTTAAACTAGATGCTATGTTTCATGCAATGGTAGCTAAAGACTTGAAAAATCATTTGTATACCCTCTTTAAAAAAAACATTTCTTGACCCAGGCACCTTAGATAACTTTTGGCTAATTTCAATATACCATTTTTAGTTGAAGGGTGCCAGTCCCACTTGGACTAATCAATCTCCAAAGATATGACCTCTTTTGTAATTTCTATTGTAAGCAAATTCTCTTCCAATCAGGTTTGCTATAGCTTAACCTAATTTCTCCAATTTGTGCATGGGTCATGCAAGTGCACTGAATTTCAAATGTTATTTTGTTATATTGTTGATTTTGGTCTATCCTGTGTAATAATTTTATTGTTTACTTGTATTATGCTTAGACAGAAACTTATTCCAAATAAAAATAGTACTAGTAATAATTACTCTACTACTCCCAGTCATAAGTATTCTGTCTTTCCTAATATAGTCTTCCCTAACTTTGCATCCTTCAGTTATGTTGATTTACCACTGCCATCATCTCCAGCCAAGAGTCATAAGAGCCACACAGTTAGGGTAACAGGATTTGTTAGATTTCAAATCTTATCAGGCCCAAGCACCAAGATCCATTGGTTAAAAATGCAGGAGCAATAGACAGTTTACAAATAACAGGTCAAAAATTCTCTAGCAATAAAAGTAGCTTGGTTTGAATAAGTGTTTTTTTTCTATTTTTCCAAGTGAACATGACTTTTGGTCACTTACATGGCTATATCCACATGTAGGAAAGTAAATTATTCCTGCATTTTCACCTCTTAATTTACACTATACACTTGACCTTCCTAGCTAATCCTAATTCCAAATACTAGCAGGCCTTACCTTGCTTAATGTTCAAGACTAGCCAAGGTTGGGTAACTGCTGCTACTAGCTGGGCTAATTATTCTAATTATAAATGTCCCCATTATAGTACTGAAGAAAACACAGTTAGGATCAATTCCAGCATCATAATCATTGTTCTCTCCCTCTTGCAAATAGGGATAAATGGTTCAAAGTTGATCACAACTATTTGAGGAAAATGAATAATAAAATCATAGAGATGGAAGGGACCATAGAGGATGTAGTCCATAGCCAACTATCTGCAAAGAAAATGTTTTATGTTCTAATTATGGTTGTTTCCTGATTGAAAGGGTGGTCTTTCACTCAAACACCATCTTGTTTGATGGGACAAGAATGGTTGTGATGGGAATGAAATGGCTCAGAAAGCTAGGCTAATGATTTTATCTGGCTGTTTCTCAGCACTAAGAAAATAAGAGCCAGTTGAGGGCCAGTTTTGTCTAGTGAATAAGGCACTAGCCTAGAAACCAGGAACCATGAGTTCTAGTCCTGCCTTAGCCAAAAAAGCTGACTGGGTGACTATGCCAGTCAGTCACTTTTAGCTCAACTCACCTCACAGGGGTGTTGTGGGGAAAATAAGAAGTGAAAGTATTGCATGTATTGGCTGCCTTGTGTTATTTATAAATATAATAAAGACAAGATAAAAACATATTTTAAAAAGACAGCAAACAAACAAAAAGTAAATAAGGTGAAAGGTGAACCCTTTAGTGTGGTGACAGTACAAATTCTAACAAAGATTTAAAAAGCAGGCAAAGAGAAAGGAGAACCAATGCTCTTCTGTGCAAGACAGCATTGGGAAAGAGAAATGAGATGAATGGGTAGAAGCCAAGAAGAGGAGTAATAGGGCAGAGAGAGCAGCAGAGTTCAGAGTGCAAGGATTGGGGAAAACTCAGGAAGTGGTTCTTTGGGGACTCTGTCTATGGAGATTCTCAATCATCCAGGTCATGGTTGTCCCAAAGGTGCTTTTTTTAAAAAGGCAACAGAATTTTGTTTTTCCTTGAAGACATTTTGCTTCTCATCCAAAAAGCTTATTCAGTTCTGACTCTTGTTCTTTTGGGGCTGTATCAAACCCTAGGCCAACTGCAAGTTGTCCACTGAAGATTTAGAAAAAGGTATCCTGATTCTGATATTCTGATTTGTGCATTAGGTGCAAAGAGAACAAATTCCAGTATTCTCAACTGGGGATTGTGTTTCTAACTAGAAATCACTGGGTATTAGGGAAGTCTACCTTTTAAGTGGTATCAGTCTGCTGCACAGAACTGGATTCAAAAGCTGAAGTTATTCTGCTGTTGCATTTTGTTTTGGGGTCTTTTTTTTTTTTTTTTTACAGTACCATTGGAGGAAATTCTTGCACAAGCAGTTTAGGCACAAAATTATGCGTACACATACATTTTCTTAGAGTGCATTGCATACATCAATCCCACGCCCAAAGATAAAAGATGTGATGTCTGCAAAAGTTGCTGACCTCATTCTCCTTAGAATGCTGTGCAGTGCTTTCATCACATGAAAAGTAAAATTTACACCAAGGATATTTCACTAATAAGCACAAGGTATGCCTGATTACTTATGAAACACCTCTATTTCCTAATGACCTTGTGATGCTGTTCCTACCTAGATATATGGCAAAATATCTGATGTTTCAGACAAGACAGAGAAATATTTCAGAAATGTAGATTGGTAATGTGATCCTGTCTTCAGGACTCATTTATACACTAGCAGCCCAGAAACAGGATTTAACACCTTCCAAGAATTTGCTATAGAAAGAAGAGAAGGCACATCAGGCATAACATGCTGCATTTTATTGTGCATATTGCTGCAAGTGAAATCTTGCTTGTTTAGTCTGTGAGATAGAGATGTGGAAAGTGAAAATTGGTTTCACATTATTCTGTCCTCCTAATAGAACCAGTTCTTCTATCTCATAATACTTGTATGCAGAGTTGCTGGTGTATTAATAAATGATGAAAATGAAATAAGTTTCAGTGATAGCTTTTTCAATGTCTTTCTGTTGTAGATCTCTACAAGGAAGAATTTAGCCACATGACATCAAGTATGAAATGATGACAACGAATGCTGAAGAGCATCAAAACATAATTTCATGAACTTGGATTCTGTATGAGGCAGAAATTTTGCTTTTTTGTCATGGATAGGTAAAAAGCACTGCCTGTAATTTTTTCATTTTCAAACTCTAAATGGTTTGGGTTAGATAATTTAAAAAGGTGTCTTAATAACTACCCAGAGCAGCCGGGTGGCATATAAATAATAATTTCATTTAACTTAAGAAACTGTTTTAGATGTTATGTTTATTTTAATTAATTCTATAATTTATGTATTATTATTATCGTTATCATCATTATTATTATTCCAATGCAGATCCTAAGATCATCTTCCAAAGTACTTTTCTGTGGACCACCTAGAGACAAATGACATTTTTCAGTGGTGGTACCACATTTACAAAAACATTTCTTTTATATACACATACACACATGCACACACATAAAAATTAAAACAATAGAAACTAATATAAGCTTTAAAAAACAGATAAAAAGAAAAATAGAAACTGCAAAAAAGAAACAATGGAATAGGAAAAAATAAGAATATAATAAAAACAAGAAATATACAAAGAAATGGCTTCCCCTTCCATCACAAATATAAACAATTTTAGTAAATTATCACCTTCTCTTAAAATACAGTGGACTTTTCTTCCCATATCCCATTTCTTATTTCTAAACAAATTGATAAAACCTCATTATTTCAGTCTTGGTGTCAGCAAAATCCATTAAGAGTTAACAGAATTAATGGCATCTCTAATTTAATCTTGCTCAAATAAATCAACTTTATATTCCTTGCGTTTATTTTTAACAATCTTAATCTTTAGTCCTTCCAAATAATGTCCTAGAACTTAATTTCTTTTCATTTTTTCTTTGTCCTTTTCCCTAAAATTCTTCAAAGCTTTAACAAGCCTCTTTTCTAAATCTGATATAGAAAAATTATTCAGGTCATTCTCTTGGTTTATTTGCATATCCTTTTTAATTATTAACACATCAGTAAGTTTTTTTGGGGGGGTATGTCCATTGTGACATTTTTTTCCATGTCATTCTTTTAGCCTGACATTTTAAAATCCACTTACAAGGTCTCAATCTTATCAGGTAAAACCAGTTCCTCTTCCATAACTTCTTTTAAACATGGCCCATCTATAGAGGCAGACACTTTTAAAATTAACTTTTGAGGCAATTGTTCAAAATATCCTTCAATATGTCCAGCATTGAAAAATTTGGCTTCTTTTTGCATTTATAAATTGAATTTGAATTTTCTCTTTTAATTGTAATCTTTAATTTCTTCTAGCTCCCTCTAGTGTCCAATTTTTAAATTCTTATTACATTTTTAAGAATTAAAAACAAATTATTTTGCCATTGAAAGGATTTTTTATAATTATTTCCAAAATCGTCTTTCAAATTTATCTGGGACCTTAATGCATTTGTAATTTTCAAAAATTAAAGTTTTAATCACCCTTTTGCTGTTTATTAAAAAAAAAAGTTAAGCTCTTAATCTTACCTTATCTTTTGATAAGGATTGAAAGAAAGTAATTTGGTGCTGTAAAACCTATTGATCCAGAGGTTCCTAACAGCCAAAAAGGAATTAACAAGCAATTTCCAAAAGACATTAGAAAAGAAGTATGCAAATCCAGTGTCCTTTCAAATGTGCTGGCTAAAGTTTGAGCAAGATAGTTATTACCTCATATCCTAAAGCTCTAAACCAACCAGAAAGTGCTGTCTTTTTAATATATTATTATATTATATTATATTATATTATATTATATTATTACTTAAAAGTTTTATATATCTGACCATCTAATAACAAACTCTGGTGGCTCCCAATCAAAATGTTGTCTTGTTTATTCCTCATGAGAAATAATTGCATGGCTTCTGGGCAATCTCAAGTCCTCTCCTGGGCTGGGTTTATCAAAGAGGCAATTTATTCACCAGCTGTTCATTCCACTGCTGTTTTTGGCACTGCTGAATTTACTCTTCCTTCCCCAGAAGTGAAACATTTCTTCAAGGATGTTCCACTGATATATAAGTAGTTTTTTCATTGTTGTTGTTGTTGGCAAGGGAAGACTTTTTATTTTTCCAGCATTTCAGGATTTTATGCTTATTGACCCTTGCAAGTTTTTTTTCTGTTTTTTTCCTGTCAGTTTTGCTTCATATGCTTGTTTTACTTTTAATTCATATTGTAATTTATGGTTTTTAATGTTGGCTCAACCCAATTTGGTGTAGTGGTTTAATGCATCAGACTAGAAACTGGCAGGCCTTGAGGTGTAGTTCTGTTTGTACATGTAGCCAACTGGATGACTTTGGGCCACTCATTCTTTCTCAGCCCTAAGAAGACAATAATGGCAAGCCACTTCCGAAAATCTTGCCAGTAAACCGCAGGAACTTGTCCCTCTAGTCACTAAGAATCAATCTTGAATCAGTGGATGATAACTAGCTTGATGAATTGCCCAGGGAAATTTGCTAATTGTAAGATTGTGTAATAAATGTATAAACAAAAAAGTATAATAAAATTAGGTTTCTGACCAATGTGTTCTTCAGAAGTAGCACTAATAACGCCAAAGCTAGGAATTCAACATGCTTACACATCATGTTGGACTTCTCCTTTCTAAAAGGGGATGCTTTGCATTCTGAAAGTTTATTTATTTTTATTTATTTTCAGTGTTTATATGCTGCCCAATCCCAAAGGACTCAGGGCGGCGTACAAAGTTAAAACAATGATAAAACAATAAAATAAAGCAGTCATACCGCGAGTCCGATCATATCCCGGCCCCCCGGGGACATCAGCCCCAGGCCTGCCGGAACAGGAGGGTTTTAACAGCCTTCTTAAAGGCCGGCAGGGTGGGAGTTGTTCGAACCACGGGGGGAAGTTGATTCCACCAGGTCGGAGCCACCAGAGAAAAGGCCCTTCCCTGAGGGCCCGCCAGCCGACACTGTCTGGCCGACGGGACCCGAAGGAGGCCCACTCTATGGGACCTCACCGGTCTCTGGGAACTATGTGGCAGAATGCGGTCCTGTAAGTAACCTGGCCCTATGCCATGAAGGGCTTTAAAGGTGATAACCAACACCTTGAATTGCGTCCGGAGACCCACAGGAAGCCAGTGCAGCTCGCGGAGGATAGGTGACACGTGGGCGTACCTTGGCGCGCCCACAGTCTCTCTCGCAGCTGCGTTCTGAACCAACTGCAGCCTCCGAACGCTCTTCAAGGGTAGCCCCATGTAGAGCGCGTTACAGTAATCCAGTCTTGAGGTGACAAGGGCATGAGTGACTGTGAGTAAAGCCTCCCGGTCCAAATAAGGCCGCAATTGGTGCACTAGGCGAACCTGTGCAAAGTTCCAGTTTCATTTTCTTGAATCTCAAGTTAAAAGATCTATTACCAAGGGATAGGAAGCAATACTGCGAGAAATTCTGGGCAGTAATTGCCAGACAAGGCCTTCTTTCACCTCAGAGAATTATAGTGTCTTCATAGCTTTACCCAGCCATTATTCAGATGATATACAGTAAGGCCTGACTTTGTTATTGTTATTTTAACAAAGTGGTTGGGTGATTCCAGAAGATGCCATACGTTTTAGTGGAGAAGTGATAAAAATGGATAAGGAAATAATTTTACTGCAATATAAGACAAATTTTCTTATTCTTACCTACCTTGGTCCTACATATCTTGGTTCACACACATTGGAAAAATAATACCATGCAGGGACAATCTTCATCAGCTATTTTCTATCATCAAGTTAATGCTGATGCCACTGCTATTACTGAAGAGATATTAATGCATCTGACTAGTTGACTTACAGTTTTCTGAACCCTGAACTCAGAAAATTAAGATTATCTTTCCCTTTCCTTCTCAGTATACTCATCAAACCAAGCATAGAAAGCCCTTGCATGTTAAATTCAGTTTTTAATCAAGGATGGAGAACCAGTGGTTCTCCCAATATTGTGATCTCCCAATATTGTGAACTACAATTCCCAGCAGCCACATCATCATCATTGAGCAATAATGCTCAAAATTCAGTAATAGCTGCAGGCCCATCCATCTGTCTATAACAGTGTTTCTCAACCTTGACAATTTTAAGGCATGTGGACTTCAACTCCCAGAATTCCACAGCCAGCATTGCTGGCTATGGAATTCTGGGCGTTGAAGTCCATATGCCTTAAAATTGTCAAGGTTGAGAAACACTGGTCTATAAAATGACTGCTTGAAAAGCATGTATCGGAAAGCAATACAGCTGCATTACAATACAGCTATCCAGGTTCCTTTACTTCATTATACAGAATCAGTAACAGATTCATAAAGGAATTAACTGGAAAGTGTAATTTTAAGAACCCCCTTATTTATGTGAGCCCAGCCTTTCCGTAAAAGAGTTAATATGCTGTAAGCAAGGATGACAGTATTTCATCTTGGTACTGCAAGTCATCTGTTTAATTGGAAATGATTTCAGTTTATTTCTGCAATGTCCTCACCAAACAAGTAGCACATGACTGTTTTGTAAGCTCTTGTACCTGAGGGAAATTTGATAAGGCTCTCAAGATCTGTATTGTAAGCAGATGGAGCATTCTGGTCCAATAGGAGAAGCCTCTGCAGTGACATCATCCACAAGAGTAAGGATGGAATGATTACTGCTGGCTTGTCAGACCACACTGGTAATGAAAGATTCATGAGGAGATGATGTTTTATGGGCTGGTATCTAATACTGCTGCCAAGTCACAAGTGTGATGTGAACTAATCGATACAATTCATCCTCCTGGAAGAAGCTAATAGAGTGTGTTGATAAAAGATAAAATGTTTTAACATCTCAGATATAGAATCAAGCATTCTTCCACCCTCAGCTTTCAAGAAATTGTGCTATTTGGAGTATAACTGAATAGGAATATTAAAAGTAGCTGCATCTGATCCCAGGAGGTCTTGTGTGATTTATTTCTCAATTAGTATGTAGCAGATTAAGGGCCTTATGCAAGGAAAATCATCCTTGTGAAACATTACTATAAAGTGCTGCGATCTATTGTTGCCAATCTGCATTTTACAATTCATCAGCAGAACCATATTGTCAGCCCTATAAGGTGGGCAAGACTAAGCAACAATCACTGTGTAAACCTAAAACAACCTTCCAAGAATTTGTGAGATTAGAAATGCTAAATGGATAAATTTTAGGCCAAATGAATCCATGACCAAGCACTATTCCATGATCATATTGTTATATCTCCTCTTTCATCCATCTGATAGAAAATTCTAGAGTCAGTGGTATATGGATTTTCCTTCCTTTAGAGGTTTTGAGGACATGCTTTTTCCCCCCAGTATTTGATTTATATACATACATGCTAATAGGACACAGAGGAAGCAAAGAAGATGTATATTCCCACCAGGTACCGTATAATTCCCATGCAGAGACATTTGCACAGCAATTTTTGGTTGAATAGCTTTCTTTGTTGGAAAAGATATTTAATCCAAGTTCAAATAAAAAACCACTACCACAAGGAGGCCCAGAGTCCTTGAAGCTGCCCATTACCAACTGAGTATGTGTATACATCCAGTCATCTGATCATTCATAAACAATCTTCCTGACCCAGAAAACTATCCTATTTATTCTGACTTCATGAAAATAAAGACCTGGAATCTCACTATTCAGATGATATTAACTCAAAACATTCCCTGGTCTTCTTATAGTCCAAAATAACTTTATTGTTTATGGCTAGTTCTGTCTGAAAGCATTCAGTTTATAGCATAGGTAGATGTAATCAAATAGATGACATGAAAATCCTGTCAATTTGTAGCAGAAATTAAATGGGATCATCCAATGATGTGTGATGTTTACATGGTTTTAGAAGACATCCTGAGAATCCTCCCTTTCCAGGATTCATAGGATATTTGACAGACAAATCACAGCTTTTGTATAAGTTGTGATTTGTCTGACATACAAAACAATTGTTAGATAAGATAGATAAGATAAACCTTAACCTTTATTGTCATTTTCCATTCTTGGCTACCTGCTAGAGGATTCTTGAGTTTATAAAGCTTTGGCATAGATTGGTCACAGGGCATACTACACATGAGAGAATCTTTGCTAGGCAGGATAGATTAAAAGGTCTGAATGACATGCAGTCTAGTAGACAATGGAGCCAGAATGCTGTTCCTGTAACAATTGTTCCTTAGATTCACTAGCAACAGGGTATCTTGATTGCTTTTCTTTGAAAAAGAGAGGGATGATCTTCTCTGCATTTATTTTTGCAGTCATTCCACTTCTTCAAAGGCACCAAGCCCGCTGGGTGACTTTTAGCCAGTCATTCTCTCTCAGCCCTAGAAAGGAGACAAGGGCAAACCATTTCCAAAAAACCTTGCCAAGAAAACTGCATGCATTAGTGAAGACATTTACCAGGAGTCAAAAATGAACTCAAGGGTACATACACACAAGCACACACAAATGCCCCACATGGCAAAACTTGTTCCCTGATACTGAGCAATAACAGCTTTTACTGGAAAACAGGAGGGAAAGGGTGAATCCCTTCCTACATCATTCTGGGGATCTTTGTTGCTGCAGCCACTGTTTGGTTCTGTTTCTCTGATCTGGCAGTGAAACTTCATTAAATTAAAAGAGTTTTGTTTTTAGCAATCTGAGAAAGCCTGAAGGTAATCACTATGTTTCTGATTTCTGGAGAAATGAAGCTTGTATATAAATAGCCCTGATAAAATGCAGAGCATGTTGGTTAGTCTTGTTATTTTACATTTGCTATTTGTAACATGAATGCAGGCATTAATAAGTAAAAGACACTCTCATTGTTGCATGGAGTTTGAAAGCAGAATTTTTAGTTCTGGTAATAGGAGCTTGTAATTGCTTAAGCAATGACACAGAGCTTGTTCATCACTCTCCCTGCTCATCAGTCTCATTTTTGCTTACAATTTCTTGTAAAGCTTTACGACTATAAAGTTGCCTTAGCTGTACATGTGACAGAGTGACTGAAGTGCACTCTGAGATCATTCCATTTCTACTGGAGAGAGGAACCTGTTTTGATTACAAAATCTTCAATTTCTGGAGAAAGAGGGGCTCACTTTTCTACAGAATTGGTGGCTGCTGAACTCTAAGTGCTGGACGTGCTACAGCAGAGAGGAAGGAGAAACACGATTAGTAGGAGAGTGATGCAACACCAAGTTTCTCTCTTGGACAAAGTCCTGTCAGGTGATGGTCAAGCAAGACACCTTTTCTTAGAATCTCCCGAGTTATGCCATTGACAGGGGAAGTCCCTGTATGGCTCGGTGTCTAAGCCATGGTTCTGTCTTTATTTGTTTGTTTTCAGAGAGTTCCACCATGCCGCTAACAATGCACAAGTGCACTTTTCTTCCATTAACATATTTCTTAGAAAGCTAATGTGTAATAATCCCTGATGCAATTGTCTTTTACAGTAATCTACTGACAATATGGCTTCAGCCCCCAACATTTCTAGTTACAGACTCCAAATGCTGTGAAAAACTCTGCTCCGGAGACCCTGACACTTAGAGTCTATTCATGAATGAGCTTCTGCCTAGATTGTGGGAGTTGCACATCAAGTGTAGCATAATGATACATCATTTGCTTAATGTTAATATGTGTGTATGTATTGTTGTTGTTGTTGTTAATTGCGAAGTCGTGTCCGACCCGTCGCGACCCCATGGACAACATTCCTCCAGGTCTTCCTGTCCTCTACCGTCTTCTGGAGTCCATTTAAATTCACACCTACTGCTTCAGTGACTCCATCCAGCCATCTCATTCTCTGTCGTCCCCTTCTTCTATTGCCCTCAATCTTTCCCAGCATTAGGCTCTTCTCCAGTGAATCCTTCCTTCTCATTAGGTGGCCAAAGTACTTGAGTTTCAACTTCAGGATCTGGCCTTCTAAAGAGCAGTCGGGGTTGATCTCTTCTAGGACTGACCGGTTTGAACGCCTTGCAGTCCAAGGGACTCGCAGGAGTCTTCTCCAGCACCATAGTTCAAAGGCCTCAATTCTTTTGCGCTCAGCCTTTCTTATGGTCCAACTTTCACAGCCATACATTGCAACTGGGAAAACCATGGCCTGGACTATACGCACTTTTGTTGGCAGGGTGATGTCTCTGCTTTTTAGAATGCTGTCTAGATTTGCCATAGCTTTCCTCCCCAGGAGCAAGCGTCTTTTAATTTCTTGGCTGCAGTCCCCATCTGAGGTGATCTTGGAGCCCAGGAAAATAAAATCTGTCACTACCTCCATTTCTTCCCCATCTATTTGCCAGGAATTGAGAGGGCCGGATGCCATGATTTTGGTTTTCTTAATGTTGAGTTTCAAGCCAACTTTTGCACTCTCCTTCTGTATGTATAGTTGTGGTCATTATCGTTTGTTGTAAACATGACTGAAACCAGGGATCAGCAGTCTTTTGGGGGTAGTAGCACATCTGGATTGGGTAGAATAGATGTCATTGTGGGAAGGTTTAAGCACAAAATACCCATTCATCAGAAGACACTTTGGACAGATTGTTCTGAGCCATCTCCCTAAAGACCAGGATGCCCCCTAGCAGTAGAGCTTCCCTTACCTATATTCTGGGGAGGAGAGCTCACTGAAGAGGCATTAGGCTGTAGCTATACATTTCGTATCTTTTAAAGAGTCTCCATTTGAGAAAAAAAAGTGGATTCTTAAAAGAAACAACAGTAGGACAAATATCCTGGCTTGAACAGCATTCCCCACTTGGTGCCATTAAGATATATTTGATTATAACTCCTGGAATTCCCAATCACCATGGTCATTGGATGGGAAATGCTGGTATTAACAATGTCTATTTCCACACAGTCCAAGATATTTAGTGCCATAGGGATGCAGTGACACAGCTCCTAAGAGAGATTTCAAAGGGAATGTGCAAAATTTGAGAAAACCAACTGGCTAATAGCCATGAAAGTGTTCTTCTATTTTATTTCTGGATCAAAAGCATCATGCCTCTACATTCCTGTTGTTGGGAAACCTAAATGGGTAGGTTGAGCTTTATCCCTTACTTCATTGGAAAATGCCTTCTGTTTTTAAGGACTGTGTATCACTTTGAGAGTAAAAGAGTGACAGCTGAGAAGGCCTTGAAGTGTTGTCCATTACTAGCCAAACCATGGATTGAACTTGCATACAGGTATTTGCTTTCAGTCTTTTTCAATGTTTATCTATTTTTTTTCCTACATTGGCATCTATTGGAAAAAATGAGCATCTTCAAACGTTACAGACGTTTTATCTTTTTCTCTAGCAAGAAGCCATTCTATCCATATAGGAGAGTTAATATAGGCATCTAGTTGACCACTGGAGAAAATAGGATGCTAGAGTTCTTTGGTTTTAAGTTTCTTGTGGTTCAACAGATGATTTAGTATACATATTATGTTACTTCATCTTTTAGTCTTCAACAGAGCCCCCAGAGTGGTTTTGAATATTAAAAGCATACAATTATGATAATTAAAAACAAAGAACAGAATAGGAAAAATTAGAGTAGCAGTCAATAATTTAAATTATCTTTAATCTAAAGATTAATCTACAAGAGGGGATCAGGATCAATAACAAAACAAATGAATAACATTTTCAGAGACGACAGTATGTGTGGAAAAACAGCGTAGAAATGCAGAGTAACTACTGTGTTATTCAAAACTAGATGGGCTCAGTACTGTCATATATCTCAGGCTCAGTGTAAGACAGCTTTGTATATTAACATGATGTATGTCTACCTACGGCCTTTCCTTGTCCCTTTAGATTGTACTGTGAAACTTGCATAAAACTAAGGAACTTACAAGATGTGTCATAAACGGGTAAATGTCAACCTTTCCTTCTGCAATCTTTGTCCTTCCTTTAGCCCCTGCTTACTCACACTTGCCTCTTGTTCCTCTTCCTTGTCTTTTGCTTCATTAAAAAAAATGATTGGAGGGCAGAAGTTATTCTAAAATATATTTCAAAGCCCCAAAGGTAACAATGATCTTGCAGAATTATAACATTACAGGAGCGGGTAAATACTATTATCCTGAATTTATAATGCATATAGCTGTCCAGCTTGTCTGTCATAGTGTCCTTTAATTTTTAAAGGTTCCTAAGCCACCTTTCTTCAACCTGGTCTCCATTGCATATTAGACTCCAACATCATCTGCACAGGATCTTGGAATGCCACTTTTGGACCATGAGAAGCAACTGCTTAAAAAACGGAAATGAGTTGGGCTGATCCTGTATGAACCATCTTATTGCATTTCCCTCTGGAAGTCTCTGTTAAAAACTTCTGTGTCTCTGCTATTAAAGAAGTGCAACTTTTTCAAGCCAGAAAAGACTGAACTATTAATATGATATTGCCTATGTACTTAATAATATTTTCCATCATATTAAATGATTCATTTCTTCATTTCTTTTGGGAGCAGCATTCAAAGCATGGTTCTGAATGTTTAGGAGACAAAATCCTTACCAGGTTCATTCAGTCAATTTGACCAGTTACCTCAGTGTGCAGCTACTTTTTGTGGCACTTAAAAGCACAGCAGTTTGTAAAGACTGAAAGCAAAAACTTGTCTACTGAATATCAAGAGAATAGTTCACTGAGCAGCTTTGGATGGAGGAAGTGGTAAGATACTCAAGAGTCAGAAGACAAATCTTAAAGAAAAGAGGTTGTGTACAAATATGGCCAAACCAGATGATTCCCACAGATAGTATATCTTTCTGTACAGTTCAAGTGTTTACTAACTGAAGAGTAGCCAGGAAACAATGCACATTATGCCTTCTAAATGACATGATTAATGACATGTCTTCTGATTAATGACATATCTTTAAGGTGGCCTTTAAATAAGTTTAACAGTCATTCACCTTGTGCAGGAAGTCCTAAAAACCAAGGTGAGATTTTGATTGAGAAATGGCCCTGTAGGAAAATGACTCTAATTTTCAGCCTTTTATTTCCACAGTTAACCTATTGGTGAGGAAAATGTTTTAATTAGTAGTGATAGGAGCTGAATATCTTAAAGCAGCCTGTTTCTCTAAGGTATGGAAATCTCTAAAGTGACACTTGGGTGGCAACTATGAGACTTCAAGCTAAGTTGCTTTTATTGTAAATTATTGGACATCACTTTTCAGATAGGCATTTAGTGTATGAATTTTAGATATTTTTGTAGCATAACTTCACTGTGATTTTTACTTCAATACTATTATACACTGGAGATTCCTTATTGGTAAGATATGCTTATTGTTTCTGAACTCGTTTGTTTTTTGTGTTGTTAGAAGAGCAGGAAAGAAGGATTGCGTTTGCTATGTTATATATGCTCTTTGTCATCCATAAAACACAAGAACATCCAGAACTAGATTCATGAAGATCCATAGAATAAGGTGTTGCAGTTGCCTGGGACTTCAGGTTATACAGTATTGTTATATTGTTGACATTGATTTATACAGGATAATTTGTATTAATTTGCTTGTACTGTACATCTAACTTTTAAAAAAATTACTACAGTATTATAACTTATATTCAGACATGCTGTATCCTATCCTGGGTTAACAGAAGCTGAGAATTTGATACCCATTTAACTTATAATTCCAACATGAAATGGTTATCCTAAATGTAGGCAACTTCACACATTCCAGATGTTTGGCCCAGTCAAAGGCCAGTCAGTATGGCCAATGGCAGCTTGTGGGAGCTGCAATGCCCAACACATTTGATTTCCAGGTTGCCTCCTCAGACTTCCACTAACACAGTGGTTCTCAACCTTTTTAATGCCGCGACCCCCAACCGGTCGTAAGTCGAGGACTACTCAACTGGTCGTAAGTCAAGGACTACTCAACTGGTGCAGCATCATTTGCAGAATGGGACTTTTGGCGGGCTCAGCAGGGCAGAGACAGCCTGGACAATTCCTATTGGCTTTTGAAAGCCAATAGAATTAGACTCTATTCAAGAGAGTATATTCTATTGGCTTTCAAAAGCCAATAGAATAAAAGGAAGTAGCACAGCTAAGGAAAAGGGGGAAAAAATGGCGGACTGCATTGTTTGGCGACCCCCGTGAAATGGTCGTTTGACCCCAAATGGGGTCCCGACCCACAGGTTGAGAACCACTGCATTAACATATTCTGGAATACTTTCTTAATATCTTTTAAGACCTTTCTGTAAACATAAGCAAAACAGTACCAAATGTGAGTTGTTTTATTTTAATGTCATTTGTTAGCTGTTCTTTCCTATTTGAATCCATTGGATCTCTATTTAAAAACAGAGTGCATGTCTTACTTTTATAAACATGGCTGAAATTTTCATCAGCAGTAGTGAAACTGCTTGGCATATTTCTATCCTTTTTGTCTTTTCTACTATATGCAGTACGCAGCCCCAAGAAGGCATGCCTGTACATAACCCTGGCTCTCTCCAATATTTCACTTGTATGTTTCAGCTGCAGATCTTCTTTTTTGTCTCCTCAGTATGACTATTAGTTCTGTGGTCCAGAACGTTTCTACATGAAGGACCTGTTCTCTCAAGTAGGAATGCTAGGCTGGTTTTACTTTTACATGAGCCTCAGAGTAGGGACTTCAATACCATATTGCAAAACAGAATTCAAACATTTAGGGATTCTTAGCAAGCCAACATGGTTTACAAATGCCTCTGCCTGAGAAATTTGCTGAAGTGACCCAACATGTCTGGGTAGAAATCTCTCTGTACTGCAAAGCATTCTGGGACATGGACATATTCTAGATCAGTATTTCACAACCTTAGCGACTTTAAGATGTGTAAAACGTTACAGCCAACTCCCAGAATTACTCCAGCCAACTCTCATTCTGGGAGGTGAAAGCCACACACAATAGAATAGCCAAGGTTGAGAAACACTGTTCTAGACACTTTCCATTTAAAATATAACAATTTAATAGGTGAAGAAGCTGCTCTTCCCTCCCCTCTCTCCCCACTCCATTACTTCAAACCAATAGCTGTGGATCTTCAGGAGCAGATCCATTTTCAGGACTATCTGATCAAAGTAGTGGCCAGCAGTAGTCCTCTCAACAGCACTCCCTTAATGCCCTGTGAGAAATGAAATCAGCTGCTTACTGCATGATGCCATCTAGTAGATAAAAATAGGATTCATTTCAAAGGCGCTTCAGACAAGGGTATCAACAAAGAGCTCTGCTGGATTTCAAGAAAGCAGCATTGGGTGAAAATTCTAGCATCTTTGGAAAAACTCTTGACTACTAGCATAGGAAAACATGTTGAAAAATATCCTTGCTCCCAACATGTTAGCATGGGCCACAGAAGTGTCTTCTCCTTGCAAGATGTTACTTGGATAGGCAAGAAGAGCTGATGGCTTTTGTTTTGATTGTCTCAATGGTTAAGCTTTAGGATATGCTTGCCATGGGTCATTCATTAAATCTTGTAATGTAGCAGGAGATTATAATAGATATTATAATGAACCCATTGGAGCAGTGGAAAAAAACCAGCACTGTGGTAAATCTATAAATATGTTAGGAAAAAGCCACTGTGAATGAAGTAATTATTGCAAACTCTATTAATGCTCATAAATGTGTTTAAAATAAGGAAGTAGGATCCATGTGACAGTTATTTAAGGCACAGATGAATGTCGATTTTAACCACACTGCATGTCAAAACTGTCAACATGGCTTTTTTGAAATTATGCGCTAAAAAGGAGAAAAAGGAGGCTTCGTTGTTGTTTCAAACACTTCTGGTCCAACTAAGCCCTGCTTTCCTTTATTTCAGAAACTGACAACTCAGAAGCTATTCATGCCACCAAAAGTAGGCTTTTCTAGAGTACTTCTGGGTTGCAAAAATCTTGATGGCCACTCAGTGTCAGCAGGGAAATTGCAGAATCTAGTGGGGGTTGTCCATATTTTTTGCATCCCAAATTGGTTGCTCACTGTGTCTTTACATTCCTTTCTGTCTTTCATTAGAGGACCGTCTGCAGCAATAGAGAGCACAACCCACAACAAAGATTTGGCTCTGAATTAAATGAACAGTGCAATTCCCCCCCCACCTTCTCTAAATTCAGATGCTTGGCAACTGGCTCATATTTATGACAACTGCAGTGTCCCGGGGTCATATGATCACCTTTTGCGACCTTCTGACAAGCAAAGTCAATGAGGAGGCTGGATTCACTTAACAACAGTGTCCCTAACTTAACTTTCTGAGGCAAGAAAGGTCATAAATTGGGGCAAAAGTCACTTAATAAATGCCTTGCTTAGCAACAGACATTTTGGACTCAATTGTAGTCATAAGTCGAGGACTACAACAAATACACCTAGAGGGAAAGAAAAATTTAAAGACATATCATATCTGAGAAAAAGACAGCAGTTATTGCCAAACATACCAGCCCTCCAAACATAAAGCTCTTCTGTTCCTGCATGCTGACTCAAGCCCCACCCTTGGTTGCTGCTGGATATCCCACCAGAATTTGCAATGATGTCAGCTGCCAAGAAGTGCTGAAGTGTGGAAAGCGCCAAGTGATCCTCTGAGAAGGGATTACTATTCAGTGTCTCAATCTAAGTCAGGCATCTGGACAGACTGAAACTAGAACAGGAGCTTTCTCCAGGATTTCTTCTGAGCTCCAGATACCTTCTTTGAAAATGGACAATGATAGTGAAGGAGGGAGGGAGAGCTTCATCTAAGACCACAGATTGGAAGAGCTGAGTTGATGAGCTGAATTAAGACTGAAAACCAGATGTTCAGCACTCACTATCTAAAATTTCTTGTCCATGCTATTATGAAGGTGGCTATAAAGTAGATCAGGAATCAGCTGGCAGTTCTCTCTCATTTCCCAAAAGTTGTTAGGCTGTTACTACACACACACAGAGAGAGAGAGAGAGAGAGAGAGAGAGACAGACAGACAGACATGTGTATACACATATAACACACACCTCTTACATCAGCTCTTGCATCATCCCTTACAACTTTAGCTAGGTGGAGTGGGGAATGTCAGTCTCCTATTCTGTTAACTCTTGCATGGCAAATTTTCAAGAAATTCCAACTAACAATCAGCTTTACTCATAAATGAGAATTATACTTTTTAAAATCACCAAGGTATTTTTACCAAATTAATAGTATATTTGAAATCTTAGGTATCTTTATTTATGAATAAGTCTTTATGAGTAAATGTGTACATAGGATCGGATTGCCAGAACCACTGTGTTCTGGAGGATTGTTAATTTTTGCAAATTGTTATACAACAGCACTGTATTACATTTTTTCAGCTCCTTGGTTATCTGTAAATTGGAAAGTGAGTTTTGTTCTTTCAAAATCTAAGTTGTGTATTGTTTTCAGTTTGAGGAAACAATATTACCATCGCAAGATTAGATTTTGTAACAGGTTAGGATGGACTATTTTTTGAAGTGTGTGTATGTGTTAATACATTCCAAAGCATGCACACCCATCCACACCCAGCTTCTGAGGAAGGGCCTTCTCTACTGTGTGACTCAGTGCCAAAGCAGGAATTCAAATTATCAACCTTTACCAAGCCTGAAGTCTTGCACAGGGTTACATCTGTTTTGCACGTTTGGTACATATTGCAGCATTTAAAAAGGAAAACACAAAAACAGCGAGTCATCCTCTTGCATCAGACTCTACATCTCACTCCACGTTCTCATTCCTGCTATTGCATGACTTTCAGCAGGTCAGCAGTGAAACTGAGTAGGAAAGCAGACCAGCAGAAAGAATTCAGTTGGGGAACTGCAGTCTCTCTCCCTCTCCCTCTCCCTCTCTCTCTCTCTCTCTCTCCCTCCCTCCTCCCTCTCTCTTTCTCTCCCTTCATCATGGGAATCGCTTAACAATAGCAACTGGAAGTACCAGAACTGCCATCACTAAGTGATGTGGACACATGATGTTGAGCTTTACAACCACATTGATTAATGATGGAAATTCCAATTCCAGTTACCATGATTAAACAAGAACTACTTCTGGGTCCAAGGAAGAGTTCTGAGATAATAGATTATTCTGAGTCTAGTGATGGTTCCAGCAAAAGATAACTTCTGGACTTAGATATTTTTGATATCTACATATTTTTGATATCAATTTACTACCATGATGAAATCCAGAATTTTGGTCGTCATTGTGATTGTAAGTCAAGGCAACATGTGACTGGATTTGATTTTAGCACCATTTTTATGATGGCTGTAAAGAGAGTCACTGGATTGTAAAGTGAATCATGTGGTTGTTAAGTGAGCCACATAGTTCTTAAGCAAATCCATCAAATACAGTAGATGTTGTTTTTTTTGTTTTCAGTTGGAAAATGGCAAAAAAATGTCACCAATTGTGGGTTTCATGATCATGGAATATTGCAGCGTCATGAATGCAAGCCAGTTACCAAATGCCCAAAACTATAATCATGTGACCTGGGAGGTGATAGTCATCCCTGAGGACAGGTCATAAATAGCCTTTTTAAACATCTGTCATAAATGGCTGGCCATAAATCAAGGACTGCCTGTACCTGGTTAAGTGACAAAGAAGTATTTTGTTTGATTTTTGTGAAGAAGGAAATGGGTTGGGAGCTGATCTACATTCAGCTCATCTTATGGTGTAGAATGGAATGGAACTTGACTTGGAAGGAATGCTGTTATGAACATATTTTATCAGAATCGCCCCCTTGTAAAGATCACTGTGTGTTGTGAGCTTTCCTGCATTCACCAAACAATTCATAGATAAGGCAGCTTCCTGTGTTCCTAGCTTGGTCAAAAGGAATATATTTGTGCAAAGAAGCACATACATTTTCAAGTTTCACAGAGTGGGGAAAAGGTTCATTCTAGGCAAATGAATTTGAACTAAGTTGACTTATAATCCTGAACAGATTGACAATGAGGGTGATTGGTCTGGTTCCTGTACAGTTTAATAAACTCACAGGTCTAGAAAGAGTTCTTTAGCCTATGGAGTGTGACTCCTGCTCAATGCACACTGAGGGCAGTACAAATCCAACTTAAAGTATCCTAGACAAATGCTTATCTTCCCCTATCCAAGATAGGACAGCCCATCACCTCTCTGAGTAGTTAGATCCTGTTGAATATACTCTTGAAGAGGATTCCTCCTAACTTTCAATTAACATCTGTAATCTGAATCCATTACTCTGTGTTCTGCCATTCTGGAATGATAGAGAACAGGGCTTCTACTTCTGTGTAACATCCTCTTTGATAATTACCTGAGAAATATATGCAGGAAAACAGGCACATTTTTGATACAATGATTTATCTGATTTTGTTTATAATTTGTTTTACTGAACCAGGACAATACCAATTGCATTTTTTAAAAAGCAACACTATTGTATGCTAGAGCAAGGCTTTTCAACCAGTGGTACGGGTACCACCTGTGGTACATTGGCACCTGGCAGGTGATACGCGAACATCCTAGAAAAGTGATAGCGGGGGAGGGGAATGAGCTGAACCGGTGGCAGCACTGCACAAGCCTGAGCGAGAGACGGCTAGAGTTGTAGGGCTGTCAGGGCTCAGCGGAAGCACCAGGATCAGCGCCAGGCTCCAGCTGGAGCTCGGCGCATCCTGGCACTTCTGCTGAGCCCTGAAGAAGCACCAGTCAGCTGGAAAGCAGCACTGATCCTGGCACTTCTGCTGAGCCCAGAAGAAGTGCCAATCAGCTGGAATGTTGCAGTATCTCCATAGTCTTGTGATTTACATTCAGATGCTTGGCAACTAATTCATATTTATGACAGTCACAGTGTCCCAGGGTCATGTGAAGTGACCAAAACCTGCTGCAACCCTCCAGCAGATGGGGGAAATCAAAACCAAACACCCCCCCACCCCCACTGCCAATTCTTAACAGAAATGCTCACAACAATGAAAACCTCGGACAGGAGGAAGAGCGCCACCGGGCGGGCAGGTAGGTGTCCTGCTCGGCTGTGGCTCGGGGAGCACTTTTTTCAGTGCCATTGTAACTTCAAACAGTCACTAAGCGAACTGTTGTAAGTCAAGGACTACCTGTATTTCATCACTTTTTTCCTCTTTTTTTCCGGTCATCAAGTTTTTGACACCTTGCCAGGCGACTGGTGGTACTTGGCTACAATGGGTGAAAAGGTTGAAAAGCCCTGTGCTAGAGCAAACAAAGTGAGTTTTCAGGTGCAAGAGCACCAACCTAAGATAGAGAACTCATAATGAATAATGGGCTACTAAGGAATAAAGTTTCTGCTCAAGAGAGAATATTCCAGAGCAGCAACTGAATTTTGCATAAGGCTCAGTTTAAGAGCTTAGAGTAGACCAAACTAGAGCTTCCAATTGTTGAAGGAAAAGTCTTCATCATGGTTCAGTCCAAGCTGGGAATAAACAACATGGTGACTGCTTTAGAAAGAAGGTTGCAGTTTATTAGGAAGAGGACAGCCAGACAGAAAGATGGCTCTGGAAGAAAAGAGCGAGAGCACATGTAGGGAGTGGGTTTTTATATCCTCTGGGGCTCTTGAGGTTGTTTCCTGTTCCTGTTTGACGCTTTGTATTTCCCGTGTCATGTATTTTGACCTGAGTCTGAGTGTGCCCCTTTGGCATCTGTGGGTTAATCCTATTATGTTCTGTCTTAGAATTTGGGTGGGATATGTAGATTTTAGGTGTCTTTGTCTTCCTAAGCTTCTAGCTGGGGGCCTCCAACCTTCCTGAATGGTTTACATCTGTATTTCTACAGAGCTGGTTTCTGATTGGGAGAGGGAGACATGGGGCTATTAAGAAAAAACTGGGCATGCTTTTCTGCCTCTTTAAGATCCTTTGAGGAAATATATTTTTCTGTCCTTTTAATATTTCCTTCTCTGAGGGGCTGACTTTCCACACAGTTCTGGCCTGAAAAAAAAATCTAAATAACCACTAGGCAGAAGCAAAGAGCAATATATCTGGAGAATTCTGGGTGTTGGAAGTCCATACACCTTCAAATTGACAAAAGAAATGTAAGTTTGCAATTTTGGAAAAGTGAGTGTGTGTATATATATATTATGTGCACAAATGTTCATAAACATTTATGAGCATTTAAATGTGGTATATAGATGCAGATGTGCCTTTATATATTAACTATATTTGTAATGATTCTGTTGCTATTTATTTCATTGATAGCTCTGGATTTCTTGTCTTTTTTCTTGCATGGTGTATCACAACTGGGAGGGAATACAAGAGTTTAAGTCTCAAATCAAAGTTGGAAAAAGGTATTCATTCCACAACTTTCCTGCCCTCTGATCTATTCTAATGCAAGGCAAGCAAATGCGATTCAGCATAGTGTGATGGATCATTTGACACTCAAGAGTGAATTTTTACTTTCCTATTTTCTCATTTTCAAGAAACATTTTTAGATAATGCTGGGTAAAGGATGTTCTAATGCAGTGGTTCTCAACTTTTCTAATGCCATGACCCCATAATACAGTTCCCCATGTTGTGGTGATCCCCAACCACTTATAAATCACCGGGTGCCAGGGGTGTGGCCAAAGAAAAGGGGGAAAAATGGCGGACAGCCTTGTTTGGCGACCCCCGTAAAATGGTTCGACCCCAAATGGGGTCCCGACCCACAGGTTGAGAACCACTGTTCTAATGTTTGAATGTTTTTCTTCATTTATGTTATTGTAAACATCTCTAAGTTGTAGAGAGGTTGGGCAACCCTTTGATAAAGTATCACCTTCTCCACCTGTGGGGCTTCTTTTTGGATTTGAAATCTCAGGAAGTTGTATGACTGCACTTTATATGGCTCACAAGCATGACTGGGTTCTGGTTACTGGGACATATCTAAGGGCTCTAGGTTAAAGACTACTACCGGTATAAACTGAAATGATGCAAGTATGTCTCTTATGGTATATTTCTTATAGTGGCTAAGATAATCCATTTATTAAAGGTTTTACACATTATCATTCTACAATTTTAACAGAACACTGAAGAAGTTTGGGGTTTTCCAGTTACCAAGTGCCAATTACTGTGTTTGCCAGCTATAATGTTGTTTCTAATAGTGTGGCATTGCCCTCTAGTGGCTTGAATATATATGCACATTGTTCCTAGTCCCAAATAATAGTTTTTAAATAATTTGCCTTTAAAAAGAATATAGCGCTTAACTTTGTCAATAAGACGTAGCAACTCTATCATCTTGTTTTCAATTTCTGTTTTCATGTAGCAAATGTAACATATTAGTACCCTACTCAAATTTGATAATCCTCAGCATTAAAATCCATGAAGGGTGTAGTTAAAAACAGGCAAATCTTTGCAATCTAAATAAATCATGTTTGTTGATCCAAGTGACTGAGCCTAGAGAATGTATATCATAGAAGGGATGGATTTAAAGAATGGATAACATGCAACAGTTGCTTCACATTCGTTTCCTGATAATAGAAAATAGAAACAGTACAAATATTAATCACAATAATATTCTCTGCATATTTTCATAGTTTTCATTCAGTTGGATAAGAAAGACAAATGGAACTTGCTTTCAAACTTTCTTTTAAAGTAGAAGAGCATTTTCACGAAGATGTTAGTGAGTGGAGTATGAGGTTTTTCATCCCATACTATGAGATAGTGAAGAAGTACATGAGAATAATCTGTGTTTCACTGCACTTTCATCATACACTCTTCGGCTTCCCACACTTCTGATAAATCTTGTGGGAAAATATCAATAGAACTCTCCTGAACTGAAATTTTACAATAGTGACTCTCCTGCTACTAAGAGACATTGCCGCCCTTGAGTTAACAGTTGGTTGCTTCCTCTTGGACAAATATAGAGAAATCATTCACTCAACTTCTGGAGAATTGCAAAAAGCCATGCATGTAATAACTTCCAAGATATTCCCAGTATCTGAAAAGAGAAAAATCTATTTCTATCTAACAGGATGGAGCCAGAAAAATTTTGGGGGGGGGGGGAATTTCTCCAGAACAGCTGAAATGTAGCACTGCCAGAAAACAGGGCTATCCAGTGATGGGTGGAAACCGCAAATTTCTTTAGGCTAAGGCATTATTTTATAAATACTGTAATCAAATAATTGCAAAAGGTATTTTAAAGCAGATATAGGGATGTATGAACCTTAATTGGCTGCTAATTAATGAAATGAGGGTTTCATTAATACTATTACTACAGTATTTTTAGTACATCTGTCTGATGCGTAAAAATCACTTGTGAAAGAAAACATTCAACCCATTTCAAAGTGCTTCTCAAACTGACCTGCAGGAATGAAACTTGTTTTAAGAAGAAAAATAAAAAAGGCATAGCAAAGCAGAAATCATTAACAATATATCACATATGTTATCAAATGAGACATAATTTTCTTTTGATATATCCAAAGTCATTTAATGAGGTAGATTTGAGTCTTAAAGATTATTTTATTTTGTCCACAAGAAAGGAGTAGTAAGTGAAATACAATCAGATATACACATGAGGTACCAAATATCAGATCCACATAGTTATTATAATCAGTGGTTAATGCATCCAGTTGGGTGTCAGGAGAATGAGTGAAAGGCTATGACGGTATAGACGCTACCCTAAGCCATGCTGTGCACACTGTACTTCTGCTGCAAAATTGTAGACCTGGTTTTTGTGGAATTCAGTGCTAGAGAGGAAGAATTTTGAAATACACACTGTAGCAAGTATATCCATTTGAATACTAAGATAAATAAAGAATCAGACTTTTAATGTTTCTTACATTAAAATTATATTAATTCAATCTTAAAATGCTAGGCAAAATAGGTTAGTATTATTAATTTCCAGTAAACATTTTCAATGTCACCTTGCTACTCCTAAAAACAGCAGCTCTGTACTCCTCTGCTCAGACTTATGCCCTATCTCTCCTCTTTATGGACTTTACTACAAAGCAGGGAACTCTGTAACAGAAAGACACAGACTTTCTACTACTAGTTTGTGGAAATAATGCACAGTTGGTGGGAAAAACTCAAAGTTCATACTGAATGTTGAGTAGAAGAAATAGACAGACAGACAGACAGGACCCACCATCCTGGAAGGAGGCATAGATAACATCAGTCAAGAATCACTGATTCAACTGGATATTGCTAATACCCAATTATTAGCAGGATGGTTTGTCAAATTGTATGTTTTATATGGTCTTAAGGATTTTGTATAAGTAATATGCAGTGGAATTGAACATGGGACTCCTTGTCACCAGATACTGCTCTTCTCTTAAGCTTTTGCATTTAGTTAGCCAAATAATTAGCTAAAGAAAAATAACTGCTTCTCCACTGACGCTGAAACAGAACACTTTGGGGGTCAAAATAATTTCAACACATAAACTACAGTTTTATCATGCATATCAATATTACTAACTAACCAATGGTAAGAGTATGATAAAATAGAAAGCATTCATCCTCAAAGATATGAAGCCATTTTAGGTCCATTATATTTTTCAGTTTTTAGATACCTTTCTGGTTCTTTGTAGTTGTCACGGGATTGCCAAGTTATTGTTAAAACTCATCCTTAATAGTGAAATGTGGCTGATCTTCAGGTTTAAAGTTTGGGTTAGGACTGCCATCTTCATTGAGAATTCTTCGGGCAGTGTAGCCAACAATAGGATATTTGGCTTTGTAAACATTACTAAAGGTCTCATCCAGAGAGTGCAACTGTTCTTCTGTGAGTCCCGTCTCAATGAATTGCAATTGTGTAAAGAAAGAAAGATGGAGAGAAAAAGGGTGGGTAGACAGAACAAATACAATGATTATTGCATACCTCCATGCTATGTAATGTGAATGCAAAGGACTACTAACTGCACCGAACAAGGTTTTTCAGAGTTCTGTACCTTTTCTATTTTTAAATCCCTCTCACATCCCACTGTCTTTAATGACCCTGTACAAGGATTAGATCACTAGGACCAATAAAACCGTGTGCAAATAAAACCATTACTTGTGGCTTCAGATCAAGCTATGCTGAAAAGATCTTTTTCTTACTGTATCATAAGTGAGATCCGCTGGATCAAGGGACATTTTTGCAACACTTCGGGTTGAATCTTTGCCAGCTAGTACATTGTATGGTGCTCCTTTCCCATAAAATTCTGTTGGGGAAAAATAACACAAATAGCAGTTAAGTGCAGGACTTAAGATTTTTAGGATCTCTCTCTCTCTCTCTCTCTCTCACACACACACACACACACACACACGTGTGTGTGTAGTCTGATATATTTAAAGATTACACCTCTTTTAAGAACTATCGTAAATTACATCCCAGAGACTTCATTGTTCACAAGCCTAGAATTAAGTGTTGATATATTCTGAGACTTCTAGAAATTGGTTTGTTTTATCCTGGCTTTGCATGATACCAGGCCCTAAAAAGTTCAAAAACTAGTAAGCATGAAATGTTGTCTTATCTTCAACTCTGTAACAAGAGAAGAAGGTCCATCTTTCAGGTTGTCTTGAACCAACAATAATATAAATATCCTAAACTGCTGAAATTCTCAACATTATAAAGCCTTAACAACAACGCACAGAAAGAGCTGACATACAATGGCATACAATGAATAATATAAGAGGTAGATTAGGGGGTGAAATGGTGACCAGAAAGGGAAAGGGAAATAAAAGATGAGAAATGAAAATGAAGTACACAATTTATCCAACCAGGAGCAACCCAAGCTTGACTGCATTCTTTGAGCTGTTATCCAAAATACTTGGAAAATACCAAATTGAACAAGGCAACCATACATTTGGATGATCCTAAAACTGGGAAAAAGAAAATGCCCACTGGAAACTACATTCACAGAATATAAGGACTTACTTCTAATAGTAAGAAAGATGGAACCCTCACTCTGTGTCAAATTTCTGTATTATTTGGTCTTACGTCATACATGGTGGAACTGCATCCTCTCTTACTATCTCCCAAAATTCTTCTCAAAAATACTATGAGTGGTAGGAATCGAATAACTGGATTCCCAAACTTTCCTTACATAACTGCCCATTCCCAGCTATTTGTATACATATGTGTTTATTCGTCAAACAAAAATTACTAAGCAATGAAAAAAATAATAAAATGTGCCAGGGATGATAGGCATGTTAGTGCACTTACACATGCTCCCTTAGGGATCTCTTAAATGTGGGTTGAGGTTCACAAAAGTTAAGTTGGAATTAAAACTATGAAAGTTAGTGGCTGAGTCAATTGAACCAGATGCGATATTCCAGATTTGGACAACACTGTTACAAAAACTGATTTTTTTACAATCAAGTTTAAAGCAGTTTACATTAAGTTTAAAGCGGTTGTTCACAAACATTACATTACAATTAAAGCTAAAAAGTCATTTGCAGGTAAAATGTTACTATGTACAATTTTGTATGCAATACCTAGGTCTGACCACAAGTGTCGCAGTTCTAACCTATCCAAACCAAGAATTTCCAGTCTAGTAGCAAAAGGTATTCTATGATGGCAAGAAGAGTGCATTTGCCATATACTTTTGCATACATGCGATTTATGTCCCCTTTTAATAACCCTATGGCAACTACAGACAAAGGTGTATGAATACTATATTGATATTGGGGATTATTCATCCTTACTGCTTTATGGATTTATTGCATATGTAAAGGGATGTGCATTAAAACTATTTATAAGTTATCAGATGGGATTTTGAGATAAACTAATCAGGACTGAGATAAACAATCAGATTTGGATTGGGTTACTGAATCTTTTGAAGCAGCAATATTTTTTCAAACTGTTCACATTCCTCTCAGGACCCTGGTTTGAAACTGAACTCTTTAATGAGTAAAGGCAAAACAGGCAGAAATGATTGAGGGTTTGAAATCCAGAGGAAAGCAAGTAAGAACTTTCTCCCCTTGGTTTTAAGCAGTGGCAAAATGAATATTCCTGGGGCAGCAGCATTGGGCTGCTAACCGGAGAAGATCTAGATCAGTAGTAGAGAACCTATGGCATGGGTGCCAGAGGCGGCACTCAGAGCCCTCTCTGTGGGCACGCACGCCGTCGCCCCAGTCCTAGGCCTTCAGCTGGGTTTTATAAAACCTTTTCACTTTAGGCCTCCACCACCGTGTACAAAAAAAAAAAAAGGTTCAATCAATCAGTCAATTTCAATTTCTCACGGGAAAAAAAAATCTTGCAAAGTTGGAATTGATTGATTGAACTTTTTAGTCCCACCCAGTCTGTTGTTACCACCACAGCCATGCCCACCCAATGGGCCACACCCACCCGGCACCTGACGATACATAAGTGGGTTTTGGGTTGCAGTTTGGGCACTTGGTCTCTAAAAGGTTTGCCATCACTGATCTAGATTATTCTTCAGATGAAATTAGCACAGAAGGCTGCTGAATGGATAAAATTTGCCATTATAGACAAGAGCTGTCTTTCTTTGACACAGATAAGAGCAATCTGTGGCCTTCTCAGCTAATGCTGGACTGTAAGTCCCAGGATTGCTCACTATCAATCATGTTGATTGGAGCTGATAGGAGCTGAAATTCAACAACAAATGGAAAGCTAATGCTATCCAGCTCTGGAATTAAGGATAATAAACATCTGAAAAATAATTTTAAAAAAATAGCAGCATTCATAAATGAGAGGAAGGCCTTTTCAGCATATCCTTGGGCAGTTGCCCTTGCTCTTTAAAAGGGCCATCTGGTTGAGGTAACAACACTGAGACATACTGGTACTTCTTATTGTGAACCATACTGAAGGGGGAAAACATTCTGCTTATAATGTGAACTTACCTTTTCCAGAAGTGACATCAAACACCACACCCTTCACAGCTATGTAAATAGGTTCATCCTCCTGAAAAGTACAATTTATATACTTTATCATGAAATGTACTGATATTCAAGAAATACCAACAGCATACTGTTTGCCTAGTCATTCTTTCTTTCCAAGAAAGCCAAAATTTGCTTACTGGAACTTGAAGTTTCTTATCTTTAAAGAGGAAAGCCTGTTCCCATTAACAAAGAGATGCTCTAAAACAGACATGTCAAACTTGCAACGTCATTTGACATCGCGCAACGTATTGGAACTTTTTCCCCATTGCCGGCAATTGGGTGGGTGTGGTTTCGCCATGACGCATCCGGCTCGCGGGCCGGCAGTTTGACACTCCTGCTCTAAAAAGAAAGGCTGCAGCATAAACCTGAGCAGAGAAATCTCTGATTGGTGTAAATGAAAAGGAAAATCCATAGCACTGAATGTACTAGATGTAGAGTGGTTGCTAATGGGTGAAGGATTTGTGGTTCTCCAGAGGTGGTGGATGAATTCTGGAACCCAAAACTCTTTACTCTTGGCCATGATAGCTGGTGTTGCTCGATGTTATACTTTAAACGCAGCTGGAAGGCCCTGGTTTCACTGCTTTTGAAAATCTCCACATCTAATTTCTTTGTTAATGAATAAATATAATGGAAGTTATCATATCCTTTATGATATATAATGTGCAAATGAAAGTTCTGAATACAAAGGTATAATATTTGTACAAAACATCCCCCAATTTTTTAAATGAAGAGGAAACAGCAAACAAAGAAGTCCTTACTGCATACATATTTGAAATGGCTTTAATATTTACAATCAATCTTGGTTTTCTTTCTTTTGCCTTTAGGGGTTCCTATATGCATAAGAAACCGTATTTTCAGTTTTCCACAAGGCTATGTTACCAATTGCTTTTTTTAATTACAGTGTTGCAGAAGTAATCCAAAGCTCCTTGCTGCCTGTCATGAGCATCTTTCTAAAGACCGCAGAACTAGTAGGGCTTCTAATCATGGCCATTTTTAGGAGCAAAACTGCAAGCCCTAAAGGCACTCATTTTCCCCTTAAAATGCCAGGGCTCCCCAAAACAGACCTTAAAATGCATTTATTTTTGCATTGGGGTCCAACTCTACACAAACATATGTGTGTGTGTTGTGTGTGTGTTTGTGTAATTTACAGTGCCACAAAACTAAAGAAAAGATGCTACAACAAAGTTTTGGAGACAGTGTGAAACCTCACTGCTGTGTCTTAACAGCATATTTTAATGCTGTACAAAATCTTCCTTACTGTTTCTTGTGGATTATCAAGGCTGTTAACTACAAGGCAAACAAAAAACAGAAAAAACGCCGCCTAACAAACTTCGCAAGTTCAAAGAGATTGCAGCTCCCCAACCCGCCCTCCGCAGAACTTCAGTCCCCTCCAGCGAAAGCTCCAAGGCGGGATCAAAACGCCCACAACTGCTCCAGTCCTGTTATTGCAACGGAGGCCAGAGGCGCAGTTTCTGCGACCGAGAATAGATCTTTCCCCCAGAGAAAGCGGCTCGAGCCGGCCTTCGTTGCCGAGAAGGCCCGTCCCGCCAACCATTCGGGCGCCGAGGGGGCAGCCTTTCCGAAAGCTTTGCCTACCTTGTGTCCGTCGTACCTGGCCAGCTCGCCTTCCGTGAAGAGGCGCACCGGTCTCTGCGACGGCGGGGGCTTGAAGCGGAGCTCCTGCTCGCATCGCGCCTCTCGAGAGCACGCGAGGGTCAACGCTAGCAGGGCAAGCGCCAGGCGGCGGCCTTGGGCCATGGCGCTCAGGCGGCGGACGGCTTCCAAATCCAGCCGGGATAGGAGGCTGGCGGGGGAAACGCCTTCTCGGGCCTCCTTGTCTATTCATCCACTTCGTTTATACGTCGCCTCAGCCCTAAAGCTCCAGAGAGTCCTTCCTGCTCCTTCTTTTTGCTTAGTTCGAACGAGCTATGGATGGCTCTCGGATGCGAGCGTCATTCAGCTGTTGAAAACAAAACAAAAAAGTTCACTGGCGGGAAGAGAAAAAAAATCCCTCTTACCTGATTCTTTGACTGATTAAAGCAATTTTGCACCTTGTAATGCTAATGTAAAGTCTAGTTACAGATTTGGAATGAATGACTCCAGGTAGTCAGATGGTGCTATTCGTCCGTAGTTCTGAATTCGAGATGGCCTATCTCGGAATAAGGCTGAAAGTGTAATTAAAAGGCACTACAAGTGAAAACATTTAAAAATAACTGTAAACATTTTTTTATTCTTGTTTTGTTTTCCATGTTAGAAACGGGTTATAATATTGTTAAAGTGAATGGTGGGACTTAAAGCTGAAAATGTCTGCCGACTAACACGCCTGATTTCAGAAATATATTTAAATGCCCATTTTTTTTCCTAACAATGCATCAGTGCTCCGGTGCCGACTGCTTGATTTACCCTTCACCAAGTACAATGTGCTGTGGTTTGTTTTCTTAGTTGTCTCTTATTAACTCTTCAAGCACTGCAAACCAAGCCTAATCATGTTTGCTTAAATCCTACTTTATCTATAAAACATCAAATTGACTGGTCTGGAAGCCATCCAAGATCTTTGTGCAACAAGTGGCTTTAAGTGATTAAAATGAGTCATTATTACTTGTACAGTAAGGTATATAATAATAAAGAGGCAATTACTACTACTGCTAGCAGGAGTACTAACATTCAAGAGAATTGACAATACTCTCCAGAATTCACCTGTGTCATATTACAGGAAACTTTCTTTGCTGCCATGTGGTGCTCATCTGGATGTCTGCAGGCCAGGTATGGGTATGATAGCTTTAATGAAGTCTGCTATCTACAAGTTTTGAGTTTAAAAAGTTAAACTTCTTTAAATAGCTTGTTTGACGTTCTTTACAGAAATATTTGCACGTATTTGCTTTAGTGTAAATCCTGTTTATTGGGACATGCTTCCAAGTCTATCTTCAACCTTGTACACATTAATTAAAATAAATCCCATTTAACGGATTATTTATATTGTGCTAAATTTGTTAGATATATACTGTTAACGGATGCTGGTCACTCAATTTGTTGCAGCTCTAGATAAAACCGCTCTACCTCCCGCTTACGTTCTTCATTCTTGTCAACGCATTTCCTGAAGGGGCTAACCTGGCCGAACAGTATCCGGTTAAGGATAAAACTTCTTGAGTCGCCAAGAGAGCGTTAGTTTATAATAAACTACATCTCCCAGCGGTCTTTCTGCTTCGACTTCTCTTCCGCAACCGGTGTCAGCAATACATTATAACAGTAATGGCCAGAGCGGTGGAAGAAGATAAACTAGCGGCACCTTGTGGAGTTGGTGCGTTACATGCACTTGCGTTATTGGTCGGATCATGTCGGTGCACTTGGTGAGGACTGAAACGCGGTGTGCGGATGGCTGTTTCTTAGATTTTGTCTCCGCTCCCCGCTTTATTTTAATAGATGCCGCTGTTTGATCCAGTTCTTCCCTGCGCTTTCTTTTCGCCGGTGCCATGATTGGACCAGAGAGCTCGTCATCTTATCAAGAGGTATTGGGAGAAAAGCGGGGAGGGAGATGGAGTATTTGCACTTTGCTGGTACGAGGTGCCTGCAGGCGAGGCTTTGTACGCGACCGGCGCTTAATGTTACAACTTGGCAACGTCGAGAAACAATTAGCCTGCATCGAAAAGACCATGCCTTTGCGCGTTCACTGGCAAGCAACAGCAACAACAACCATATAAACTTCGGAAGTGAGTCCCGCCAAGTTCAACGAGACTTATTCCAAAGTAATAGTACATGCATGTGGATGCCGTATTAGACAAAGGGGTACGTTAGGGCAAACGTGCATAATCGGTGTGCCCCTTTAGGCTATAAGTGTGTATATCCTCGGCGTTGTTCTATTAATTGGTCGTTCGGGCATTGCCGCTGTGGATGCGTCGGAATGCTAAGTTTAAGCGAGTTCAGCTCCAGCAGCTTAAGGAGAGCAGCTCAGACCCTTGCAGAGCTCCATGCAGGCGGAGAGGATGTCCTTTGAACAAACTGTGGACTGGACTCCTGTTAATGCAGAATTTTAATACATAGTAACAAGCCCACTGAAAGCCGGAAGCTTTTTTTCTTATTAAAGTTTAGTAGGACTGGATTTTATTAGGTTATTTCTTCCCCCAGAATTTAAAGCGTTTTTTTAGGCAAGAGGGCAAGAATTCAGAAATAGGCTTTGTTAATCCGAACCTCTCCTCCCCTCCCTCCAACAGAACTTTGATGCAGCTTCCAGAGCATTTTAATTTTATTTATTAAATTTATATGCTGCCTGTTTCATCATCTAGGGCAGGGGCGTTAAACTCAATTTCATTAAGGGCTGCATCAGCATTGCAGTTGCCCTGGGGGGCGGGGGGGCCTACTGAATGGGTGTGATCTACTGGGTGGGCATGGTCTGCTTTACATCGTTCGCGTCAAGGGTGCCTGTGAGGGCCTGGGCAGGAGTGGGACAGATCTGAGTCTCTGGCAGAAGGGGGTGGGACCAGGGCAAGTGCCAAGGCATAGTCCACTGGAGTAGCCTCACTGTTCCTCTCAGGCCATGTGGGAGAGTGGATGGTGGTGCAGGCTGCACGGAGCTCTGGGCAGCAGAGGTCAAATGCCCAGCTTGGCACCACGACACCAAGCCTCTCCTTCTTTCCTCCCTAAGTACAGAGTGGTGGGAAAATATTTGAGATGAGGGAGAAAAACAGGCAAGAAACGCAGTTGGGAGGTGTCACCTTTCGTGAGGAATGAAGAAATGCACCATCGCCTGGAAGTGGCCGGCACATGGCCCTCACCTACTTCACATATCTGGCTTGGTGGGCTATGGGGTAGGGGATGCCATGAGCAGCGTGAGAGTCAACGTTACCTGCGCAATGCCGCCCAGCCCCCAGTCTGCCCAGTCTCGGCAGGCAGCGGGGCGCTCTCCTCACAGCGCCAAGAGGCTGAGCTAGGTGGCACAAATCCGAAAAGAAGCACAACGCCCAGCCCCCAGCCTGCCCGGTCTCGGCAGGCAGCGGGGTGCTCTCCTCACAGCGCCAAGAGGTTGAGACAGGAGGTGCAAAGCTTGCCAGCTTTGCACCTTGCTCCCTGCTGAAACTGGGCAGGCTGCGGGCTAGGCAGCATTGCACTTCTCATCAGATTCGCGCCACCCAGCTCAGTTCTTGGCACTGTGAGGAGAGCACCCCGCTGCCTGCTGAAACCCCTCTCCCGGAGCCCATCAAGCCGGATATGTGAAGTAGGTGAGGGCCATTTGCTGGCCACTTCCACGCAATGGTGGATTTCTTCATTCCTCACAAAGAGTGACACCTCCTCAGCATGCACTGGGAGGGGCAGGGCCGACGCGGTAGGGGCTGGTTCCTCGCTGTTTCCAGATAGCCTTGTGGAGCTAAGACTGAATACATTTCAGCATAGATGGCCACCACAAAATTGTACATTGGCTCCCAGCTAGCCTGGGCCAGGGCCAAGGTAGTGGGTCCCGTTCCCTCACTGTTTCCAGGATGGCTTCGCGGGCCACATGAAACCACTTTGCAGGCCGCATCTGGCCCACTGGCCTTGTGTTTGACATGTCTGATCTAGGGTGACTCATTATCTGTATCTTTGGCAACCCTTCTTCAAAGATAGTGTATAGCAGTGTGTTTTTTTTCAACCTTGGCAATTTGAAGATGTATGGACTTCAACTTCCAGAGAATTCTAGCTTGCAAGTTTTCTTGAGGTAAAGAGTTATGTGTCATAGTAAATATTAGTCTTACAGATGCCTTAAGATTTTTGCTGTTACTGTCAGTCTAACATGTTCGCTTCTCCAGGAAGAAACTTAAAAGTAGAGTTTAAAGAAAAAACTAAAAAAGTATATTACAGCAATTTTTTTATTATGCAATTGAAATAAGACCAATATTCAGGCTTTAGAGTCTTCCAAAACTCTTGTTGAAACTTCATGAACACAGTAAACAAAGCAAGGGTTGATAGATGTTATGATGATGATGATGATGATGATGATGATGATTAGTAAAAGTCAACAAATTTCAGTGTGTCTTCATTAAACACTGCATGTATTCCATCTGAAGAACATTTTAGAAAATTATATGTAACTGCCAATATAGGGCAATAATTCAAGGATTCCAAGAAACTAACCTGTACGTTTGTTTCTAAAATGTCACATGTTCTTGGCTTTGTGGGTTGTCATTATCTGTTTATTCAGAAGTAATTTCCCAGTAAGTTTAAAGAATTTATACTCTTCTCCCCTTTACTAATGAATATTATAGGTCAACACATCTGGAGGGTACTGAATTTGGAAAGACTATTCCAGTAATTCAGCAAAGAGATGTTATCCATATGGTACCTAACATAGTTAAGGCTGCTTTTGTTTTCTATAGGTTTCACTCTTCATTCCCATAGAATTGAAATTTACCCTCTCTTTTCCTTTGGATTTTCACAATAAAAGAAGCTTGCTTAAAGCATGGATTTTAACTTCCATTTTCTTTTTAATTTTAATGATTGCTTGGTGCTTTATTTCTCTGAGCATATTTTAAGAAAAAAAAATATTTTGCTGCCATTTGTATGCAACAGCTTTTAAGTTGCTGCATTGCTTATCTGCTTGGCAGACCTGTGAGAGCAAATAAGCAGGAAAAGGAAGGTGAGGGGGTATTGCTGGCTGTCAAGATAAGCAAGCCTATACAGACAAATACACATTTTCAAATGCATTTTTAGAAAGTTCGGGAAATTGGCTGTGTGTTTGCATTCACTTGGCCTTTGTCAGACTATCTGAGCTGTGTTGACAAATTCTCTGCTAGTACACCATGACAGAGCTTTAGGCTTCTTGTTTTGCATATCAATAAATCAACTGCTTCAATCGTAAGTCTGTTTGCTTATCTGCTTCTCCTTCAGCTTTCCTTAAGAAGACACTGTCAGGTGCTCTGAATTAGTCCATCAGTCAATCAGGAGACTGGCTTGGATGATGGAGTTGTAATCGAGTGTCTCTGGATAGCATCAGCTTAAGAAAGGCCATTCACTGTGGCAATGGTTTAATTTTTTAAATCTGACAGGCAAACCAAAAAGTTTTGTAACACCTTAAACACCAGATGATTTTATAGAATAAATTTAATCCATAAACAAGTTGTAGCTTTTATATTCACATACTGAGGAAAAATATTTGTCTTCAATCAGGAGCATTGTAAAAAAATATTCATTTCTTTTACAAAGGGTTGCTACAACAAATTGTGGTTGCAGTGTGGAACATTTTTGTTTGGGATTCCATATGAGTAGCAGGCGTCTTCCAGGAGATTCTCCTCTCTCCTTCATCCTCAATTTTCTCTCCAGTTGACATTGTTGTTCTGTTCGCACTGAATCTCTCTTCACACTGAATCTCTCTTCACTGAGCTCTTTTTCAGAGGAGCAGGGATCCAGAAAAGGGGAGGGATTTTGAGTTTCTTTAGTAAACCTTGAGGTTTCCCCAAGTTTTGGCTCCAGAAGCAATGATATAAGTGTTAAGAGCACAAACTGTGAGGTTACTGAAAGCAGCCATTGGTTTCAAGATTCAAGGGATTCTGTGGCCTAACATTAATCATTTTCTGAACTTTGGTTAGGTTAGGAGTTCCTAGACACTTGCAAAGAAGAGAGTTAATTTGGAATTCATCTAAAGTTTTTAACCAACAAAATAACTAGAAGGGTGAGGGCTGATCCAGTCAAACTGTAAGTATTGTTAGGCAACATTAAAAAAAAGTCATGGTTCAAAAATGGAATGAGGAAGTGATAGGCTATTGAGTTTGTTGCTGGAATGGAAAAGAAATACCATTTGTTCTCCCTTTAAACCTTTAAAGATAAAAGGAGATTGGTGTTTTTCTCACATGCTTGTAAATGAGAAAGTGGGCTGAGATTTGAACCAGTGCACATTTATTCAGAAATAAAGTGTGTCTCCTGAGTTATGTGGAATATATTTCCTGTGTATTTTCCAGAACACTAATCCAACTAATTGAAAGGAAATTCCAGTTTCCCTTCCACTGGACCTGAGAATTAAATAAATGGAAACTCAA